CAAGAAAAAAATTCGGGACGAGATCAGCAACAAAACAACCTTAAAGAAAGAAAGACAAAGTTTTGTTTACTTGAAGCCTTTACAGGAATATAAAATAAAGGGAAAAACAAACAAATGTATTGACAGCTTTGCAAGTTGCCCTTTAACCCTATATATATACCGGAGGAGGACTTAAAATGCCCACATCAATGTGATTGATAGATCAATTGATTGTTATTTATTTCAATGAATGTTGTTTTTTCTGGTTGGGTTTTTGTGCACGATGGATAAAACCAGTCTGCTGTGGCGTAAATCATACCCGGTGTACAATACTAGTACTAGAGAAAAGTGTGCAAGGGAATATACCAAACCTTCGAAAAGATCTATATCGAAAGTTAAACTGGCGAAATAACATTATAGTCACAGGGTTGTGATTTTTATCTGAATCTGTATAGCCGGTATGCTTTGCAGGCACGCGGCGCTACGACAGCTGGCTATATTACATCGAGTAATTTGTTACACATAGCCTTTCAACATCTGAAGTCATTTATTCCTATCTAGACTGTAGGAGGACTTAAAATACCTTACGAAGCAGATTCTCTATACCGAAGCTGAGAAAGCAGGCCAAGAGGACGTTTGGAAGAAAAACAATAGACTTAAAACGGAAGTTCAGAAAAGCACACTTGAAGTACGTGGCAGACATACTGGAAGAAGCTTTAGTTGACAAATTCAAAACATTCTGTTCCTACATAAAAGGACTGAGGAAAGAACTTGCTGGGGTAGGAGTCCTAAAGGTGGGAAATACTATCAACAGTGACAACTGGGAAAAAACAGAGGTGCACAGTTTACAGTTTAATAGTTATAGAGAAAGACACCACAGATATGCCATCTGTGGGTCAGCCCTGTACTCATCTAATGAAACATATAAAAGTTTCTACTGATGGTGTCAAAAAATGCTTCAAGATCTGAATCCCTCTAAAACATCCGGTCATCAAATACCACCTTGGTTCCTCAAAGGGACACCTAGTGAAATCGCACCTGTACTAACTGAAATTTTCCAACACTCGTTAAACACTGCAGAAGTCCCTTAAAACTGGATGGAAATATATGCGCCATCTTTAACAAAAGAGATAGAGCGGTCATGAGAAACTACAGATCCGTTTAACTAATATGCATATCCTGCAAACTTCTTGTACACTTCAGGCCACTTGTCAATGTATTGTCCGCATTGTTTAAGGGTCGATCCGCTTGTCATGTCGGGTAAAAAAGTATTATCACCTTCGCGAAGCAAGAGGTCGACGGGACAGCATAAGTTCTTGCTGCCATGGATGCCCGGATTAAGGGAACAGAAAAATCCTGTAACTGAATGGTAGGCTGAGAAAAGGCAAACTCTTTTTTCTTTAAAAAAAAGGATACTTTACTGGTAACGTAGACAAACCGGCCATGCGTTACGTTCCCGAGCGGCGGTTCTTAAATTCCGCCATTTTGGTTTGCTGCCAAACTGACGCAAAGGCATTGGTCGTAGTGTTCGTACTATATTAGTATGTTTACTCTGCTAGTACAGCGATGATAGGTTTTACTTATACTTTTTCGTCTCATTTGTTGTAATAGCATGATGACGGATGTAATTTTGCCAAGTATGAAAGTTCATCTGTGTTAGTACAAGTCACTGTGAAAGAAAGAAAGACTGAACTTTATCTCAAACACTGGAATAAATTGGGACTGCCCCCTAATTTACGATTGACTACATCAACATTGTTTACCAAATGGACAACTCAATAACGACAAATCGCGTTTCAGCCTTATGGCTGTTTCTAGTTCTTAATATCTGTTGCAGATAGATATTCTTCAAAGTGGCCAACTCATATATTTTAACCTCTGACTAAAGATCTATTACGCAAAGATCCTGTTTTGTTTAGAAATGCATTATAATAAATGAAATGTTGCTCACCCGGAAAACCTTTTATCTCCTGATAATGGCGTTGCTCCTTTCTGTGGCAAGAGTAAGTACCGTTTCCAAGAACACGTAGAGTGTGCACATGTCTTTTCTTTCCTTCTGCAGCTCCGCTTACCTGTTGTGAAACAACTATTATGGTTGTCATAAATTGATACAATTGATAGTCTTCTGTTAATAGCATATACCGAATTAATGACAGAGAGTACACTTACCAAGTGAAAATTAGTCTTGTCCAAAAATGAGACAAGGACATCCAGCCTTGTTCCATTGGTAAAGTAAAGGTCGTCATCCATGTAGAGAAAATACTCAGTCCAGACTTGAGACAGCCCTAGATTTCTTCCCGCAAAGTAGCCCTTTGTATGGATAAGATTGCGTTGAAAAATATTTGCAATAAATAAATTAACGAAATCATTTACGGGTAAATTTGGCCGAAAAAAGTTCTTAAGTTACGAACATTTCAAATACAGGTTAAAAGGTAGAATTTTATGAACCCGAACACCATGGTAGCCAACACCAACTACAAATATAATAATATCATTAACCCTATTGTTTGTCCCTTCGGTGTAACTTAATGTTTAACATCAACAATTAGCTTTAAACGTAATCTTAAAAATCACCTAATTTTCTTTCCCACCGATATTTGACATCTTCTTTTAAGTTAAAGTTCCACTTTGATATACTATGAATAAGTTTGAATTTTTCGTTACATGTCATTGTTATATAAGATTTAAATTTAAATTTCATTTATATATCCTGGAGTTATTGCTACAAATTTTTTACAATTTTTCTGCTTATGTTTGTACTTCAGTTGAACCTCTGTTAACTGTTTTTAACATATCGTTTCTAATTAGCGTTATTTACCAATTACTTATAGTTATTTTTTACCATTTGATTTGTTACCATTATTACAGTTGTCAATTAATTTTGTCTGGGGAAGATCATGGACAAGCCATTATGGCTTTTTATCTTTCCCTGCATATCCAATTTTACTGTAATATGTTCATTTTGTTGTTTGTCTCTTTGATTATATGCGAATAAAGTAACAGACAAAAAACAAAACAAACTACTTACAGTAAGTTACAGTTTCATGCAGTTTTTTTTACATTTAAACGATATAATGTTCAAGCTTGCCAAATTACGTCATCTACGTTTACATGCACCTTTTGGTAAATTTGTTTGTATCTATTTCGCTACTTGAACCATCATGTAGAGTGCTTGTTACGGACTGATGTTTTTTATGTTGTTGAGATACACAGGACTGCCCAAATGGCTCTTAATTTAAACAGGGCTGTTAAATTTGCAACTATTAGAGATAAAAGGAATTGTATTGTAAAATATTAATATCACTCCGTGTGAAAATATAAGCATAAGCGATATTGATTATGACCATTTCTCTTTTTATTTTATATTTTTGCTGTAAAATTCTCCCAAAGAGATTCTATTTACAAAGGTATTATTATCTTTTGCCATCATGGTGAATGGTAACATGGGATCTGTGATATGTTATGATGATAAGCTTTTTTTTCTCGGAAATGGACTTTCAGGTCCATTCGTAATTATCATCCAAATAACATCACGTAATTTATCACCGTGACTCTGTACTATGTAGTTGTCAGATACTTTTAGAGCAGATTGTAGTTTTTTCTAGTATTTATCGTGTCCATTAACATCATCATCATCATCATTCATCCTCCGTAGAGGTGAGCATTAAAACACCGTTCCTTAAATATAGGTACATTATGTACGTTGGCCATTTGCAAACCACTCAAAAAGAAGTCGTCGCTTCACGGGAAATACTCTGTATTTTCGTTCGTTAGCTTTAGGATAAATGCAGTATACTTAACTTCATTTCCTTACAACGGTGCAGCATCTGCATAAAATTCTCATAAGTAAGAGTATAACAGGGGTCCGTACTCGGACCGATGCCTTTTACTCTTTGCAACGGCCCTTAGACCTTGGCACTAGCCGTACCCGACTATTGACAAATGTGTATGAAAACGACAAACTACTGTCCTTCTCCTATCGCAGTTTTCACAGTATTTATGAACACTCCATATTTTGCATTATTCGTATACCCATGTAAAATCTGCATGTTTCATTGCATACTAATGAGCATTGTAACGATTTTAACGTTATTGTATCTTGCTAAGTTTGCAAAAGGGAAATAATAAAAGCTCTAGGTATCAAGAAGAAACAAATGTATCAATTACAAAGTATTGGCAATTACTTACAGTGAAGCCTGGCATTCTAAAGTGATCCATGTTGATACCTTGCAGGTTTGTAAAGTTCGTCGGGGGAGTGTCGTCAGCAATAATGATTCTTGTATTTGGATACAATCTCTTGATAGAGAAAATCGCCGATTTTGCCTTATGGTACCGAAGAAACGTTTTAACAATCACAGTGACCCTTTCTTCGACAGTTCCTAATGAGTGAAAACGTTATCACCAGTGTTAGCAATAATAAGTATTTTCCCTGACCTCGTGTTTTTTTTTTCGTAGAAAAGTGTATTTTTTTTACACAAACTAATCGATTTGTGATTTTTTTGCTCCAACAACGATTTGTTCCTTCAGGATCTTCCTTATTCAATAGTGCAACTTGAAAGAAATCAAATGAAACGACGCTACCTAGTAAACCTTGAGATGGTGGAGAGGACCGCATGTTAATGTAACGACTCTGATGAATTGGTTTTAGTTTTTATTTATATTGCAATATAGACTAGTTTACGCAATATAGACAAGTATATCACCATTGCTTTCATTTTCTCGCAATGTTTACAAAAGGGAAGCATAAATGTTATGATTTCACTATGCGTTGAGAAGTCTATCAGTTTGAACATTTGATGCCAGGATTGGTCTAACACCTTGTCTGATAGTCTAACATCGCTTATCTTCACGTTCAAGGTTCAAGTCTAACCATGACTTCTTGTCTTCACCATGATTTTATTATACGGTGGTACCTTTTCTATACAGCCATGGAACCTGTCGATGTTGAATATGAATCGGAATTGTAATATTGAATTCCAAGTAACGAAGAAGAACTGAAAAAAAACATGCGTCATATATACTTAAATTATTACAAAGTACAAAGAAATGTATATAATATGGTATGTTAAGATTATCACCAAAGATCACGCATTCTTACATTCTAATAATGCGTGATCAGTTAATGCAACATTGAACGTAAAATCAGCACTTAATTTCTATAAAAGGTCGGTTATCAGAGCCAAAAATGATCAATCGCAATACTTTTGTCATTTTATACTGCTAGTAATTGTAAATATTAACAAATGACTGAAGTGGTCACTTCTATTTATCTTATCAATCTTTAGACCGAGCTGTTTTGAGGGGGTGGTTTACCAATAATAATAAATTAAAACTAAAGTTCCACGATCTCATACCTTCGCCAAATGACTTTCTTAAGTATACATTAATCCCCCTGATTATGCAAATAGGATCCTCAATTGCATAAATTATATCTGTTGATCATATTCTACACCAAAATACACAAACAAAGAATGTCATTATAGCATTTCCTAATAAATAAACCACACACAAACACACACACACTAAAACGCTATTGAAAACATAACCCTCTTGGCGAAGGTAATTATGCAAATGAGGCCCAAATTTAAATAATTTATGTCTAATTATGTTCACATTCACTTAAATTTCAAATACCCCAAGTATGAAATTCCAGGCAGTTAACAGTATGGAAGTATAAGATTTCGCATCAATTATGCAAATTAAGTCGTCATTTGCATAATCAATATCTGCCTGTGTTACTCTGTTTATTAAATACAATTTTTGCCGAGAATTATTGATGTTTGATATTCTCGGCCCTTTGGATGTAATGTCAAGGCACGAGGTCCATTTTTATGACGTCATTTGGTCACGTGGATTACACCAAGAAAGCTACTCATACAGACTTGCTATCATACATCAAAATAAACTTTGGTTATTGCAGATTCAAATAATCTATGGTAGCACTGGTCCGTCTTGGTGGTACAAAAATCGGTCTCGGCCATGTACTATGACACAAGCTTGACATATGCCAAATAGCAGTCTTATGTAATGCAACTGATTTATAGAATTTCCTCATTGATTATGCCAATTACATTCATATTTGCATAATTGTAAAAATTTAATGTCAAACATCAATTAAACTACCTATAGACCAAAAATCACGACGATCCACAATCCGGTTCATAAGTTATCCTCTTTTAAACATTTTTCTACATACGCCCCTGCAGTTCTAGAGCAAGCAGCTCAAACTCATGTCACTTCATCTCCAACACAAGAGCTATATACTATGTAAATTTTGTGACCCTAGCATGCCTGGATCATGAGATACTAGTATCAAAACCGGAAGTTCTGCAACAGTACCATAACAAGCCGCCGTGGAGCCCAAAATCTAATCATTTCCAGGTCTCATCAAGACCTACCCACCTACCAAATATCAAGACAATCCATTTAGGCGTTGTCGAGATATCGTGCTAACACACACACACGCGCGCGCGCACACACACACACACACACACACACACACAGACACACACACACACACACACACACACACACACACACACAGACACACGAACGCCCCTGAAAACATTCCTTCTCGGCAAAGGTAATAATTCTTTTTGAACTGCGATGACGTAGAGTCAATAGGACCTCATTTCGTCCAAAAAAGCAAAAAAAAAGCAAAGTTTACATACTTTCTAAGTGGCACAAGACAAAAGCACAAATAGCATTGTGTGGGCTTGCATCCAATGATCTATTTTTGTCCGGATATAGCAAAAAAAAATATTTTACGCAATTTTAAAGTGGTGTATGTCAAAGTCGTGTACCTCCATTAAGATTTTCAGGTCATTTGTTATAATGATTCTTTCCCTCCAGTCAGGAGTCAAACTTATCGTATCGGTGCTTAGATTAAAAAGACTGTTTTAGTCAATAAAAACGTATCAAGGATGTCATATTGTGGCATTATTACGTAATAACGATAAGGAAAATTCTTAAGGTATAGTTTAACACGCCATAAGTCCCAGTTACCAGCCCCCCCCCCCACCTTAAAGCACAGCCTGTTTGTGTGAGAAGTTACAGAATGGGTAGCAGAGATCGCATAAGTTATCACAGAAATTAGGTTATCTTGTAGGTGAGACAGATGAGCAGCAATTGACCACCACGACCGGGTCGGTGTCACAGCGATCTCGCCCCATTTAGTAAAAAAATATTTTATTTGAAACTTCTTTTATAGCATGCTCAAGTACACTCATTTCGTATGAAATTCTAATCATAGTATTTCATTGTATTCGGGTTATGTTTAAATGATTTTATCAGACAATTCGGTAGAAGAATGCCCTGCTGCTACTGCTCTGACGTTCTGGAACCCGGGCTTGGTCCTATAGTTAAGCACACAGTAGCTGTATGTTCTTGACTTTAGGCACATTAGATTTCAGGAATGGTATGGCAAAGTATTTCAAAGTTGTTTAACATTAAATTTGTTTAACTCAAGCGGTGATTTGTTGCAAGATATGGAACTATACCTTTACATTTAGGGCCATGGAAGTTTAAAATTCTTTGATGTAACTCTTACATTGAGATGACATAACTTCCTTTGACATGAATGGCGTCATAATTACGTTATAATGATATCAAAATTTGTTGTTTTGATCAATGTTAACTAGTACACCATCCACTAAAAATTCAGTGGTCATACGATATACCGTTCATGAGTTCGGAGGGGCGAAGGACGCCCCCCCCCCGTCCCAAAGATTCTTAAAAGCCCAGTCTAGATAGGGTTTACTAAGAGGCAGAATAGTGTAAGATCTCTGGAGTGAGACGAAATCGCTAGCGTTATCAACCCCCACCCCGCTGGAAGGCAAATCACTGGGGGAGAGGCAAAAGTACACCGGGTGAAAGAGCGTTAGGCGCCGAAAAAGATTTTAGAAAACATCCTAAAGAAACCCGGGCCGGACTTAATCATGTAAGCTACCG